TTTAATACAAAAAAAGATAAGAGAAGTCCTGCCCATCATCTCCCCACCCAGAAATGCCTGCGGCATCTACTGTAGCACGTAGATGTCCCGTCTTTACATTGAACGTGTGAGTATAATTACATATGTTTGCATAATCATTTACATCTGTGGCTATGATACTGACTCTCCGTTTTATATTTAATAGTATAACTTTTATAGGCATTTCTATTAAAATTCTTTGAACACACTATTTTTAAAGGTTTGTGCGTTTGCATGAACCGTAAGTCACTTAATTTTTTTCTTTCGTTACATGTTTAGATTACCCCGTCCCTCCCCCCCTCTTTTTTTGGTTCTAAATACATCTGTCATTGACATCTGTATACACCTTATTAGTTAAGTCCGGACTCTGCTTGGCTCTTAGACGTCCCAAGCTGAGCATTATTTGGTACCTTCTTTCTGGGACTGTTTTTCCCAGACCCGTATTACTCTTTAGGTCTCCAAAGTTACTTGCTTTCATGACGTAGGAAGATTGTTTAGATAGTGAACTGTATTTCCTGCGTTAAGACCAGAATCAGGTTACAGGGTTGGATAGTTGGTTTAACTTTTATTGTGTCATAGTCCGTCCTGGGAGCTCTATGTGTGTTCTCTCATTTAATTCTCAAAACGAACTTGCCTGAGGTAGTTCCATGTTCTTATTTTATTTCATTTATATGCTTTACTTTTTTTCTTAAAGTTTACTTATTTTTGGGGGGGTGGAGGGCATGGAGAGGAGGAGACTATGAGTAGGGGAGGGACAGAGAGAGAGAAACCCAAGCAGGCTCCTCGCTGTCAGCTAAGAGCCCGACGTGAGGCTCGATCCCATGAACCGAAAGATCATGACCCTCACTTCTAAGTGAGACAACTATATATACCTAGAAAGTCCTTCTAAAAGTTAGATTTTCAGGGCATCTTTAAAGTTCTCTACAACTGAGTTACAGGTAGGCGACGTACCTCCACGCTATTGAGATTTATTTTTTACGTTTGGCTCTCAGTGTTTATGATTGACTGTGGGATTCAGGCTTCCTCAGGGCATCGGAATTAAGATCCAAAGACAGGCCAGTGAGAAATTGTTAGGATGTGGTCAAAGATAAAAAGTTAATTCACTGTGTCTGTGCTTTGTAGATTAAACCATCATCAGAAGATGTAATTAGAGCCTGCTACAAACACAGTTTTAATCGATGATGGAATTAGGTGGGTAGGGGAAATGTGCAGGAATTACTCTTAGGACTTTCCGGCACTCCCAGGGGGAAAACCACCTAAGAAAATCCGAATGATTTAACAGTAATAGAATAAGCTGTTTCCATTCCCAACAATGGTTTCAGGAAACCAACCGAAGCCGTGGCCTGCCACGCCTGAATGTTTGCCCCAGTGGTAGGTCTGTGATGCCTGAGTCACTGGTCAAGCCATCGGCAGCCTATTTAATGTCGGTTCTGCTGCTGCTGTGGAAGGGACGCTGAACTAAGTGGTCTCCACGATACGTCAGTAACTGGGACGGGGGATCTGGTGGCGATCTCTACTTTTGTGCGAGGGATTCTTGGCAGGAAGAACAGAGTCGAGTGGCCATCTTTGGCCATTACTTAGTCTCGGCTGAAGGATTTGCCAGGCATGGTCCAGCGTGTGGGGAGATCTCCATCCTTGGCCTAGGGTAGGAAGTATTCCCACCGGCTGCGTCATGAACAAAGAATGACGGCCTCCCACCGTGGCCACTCTCGTTGTGAGTGGCCACCTTATGAAAAGAGGAGTTCCGTGAACTCCGGTTGGATTTTTATTGCACGGGATCTTCTCCAACACGTGCTGGCGTAGAGAGCGCAGGCTGTCGTAGTCTTTGGACGCAAACGCGATCTCACCTTTGCCGCGGAAGTCGTGCGGGTGAAGGCACGGACTGAAGTTAGTCCCGTTTTCCTTTCCCTGCCTGGATCTGAGCTGTGTTTCAAACGGCAACGGCACCTTGCTGATACCACCTAGGCAGCTATATTCTTTTACGGCCGATCTGTAATTTGCCCGGGCTCCCTCAGGAGTCGACCCCGGATGACTGCAATCTGCTTTGCATCATCTTAAAGGGGCGGCTAATTAGTGGCTGTTTTCTGGAACCCTCTGCTCTCCGATTACACTCTCAACTTTGTTTTTTTGAGAGTTAGAAGTCAGGGGGAAAGATTGTTGGCATTGGCTCAAGTGCTCCCGGGTCTCGATGGGGCACATTTCCCACTTCCTGTCCACTCCAGTGGGATCTAAACCGTGCTGGGGAAGCAGAGCTTCAGCCACACCTTGCTCCGAAAAGACGCGTCTTTTTTTCCCCTCTGTTAACAGTCTGCCTGTCTTCTTTCCTCGATCCTAGAGAAGGGCAGCCATGCCATTGACTTTACTGCTTTGGTCCAGCCGTGAGAAACATTTTCATCTGCTTCCCCGATCCCTTAGTAGTGCTAACTCCCCAAATGGACCAATGCCTTCCTGTCTTCAAAAACACTGTATTTTTGATAGTAGAAAATGCAGAGGGGTGGGTGTGGTGCTCTGACGGAGGGGAACAGTCCAGGCCTGATTTCTGCTTGCGAAGCGCGTAGTCCGGTTGAAAGGGACATGTAATCATTTGGGGAATCAAGTCTGCTCTGACTCTTGGCTCCCTGGACCTTTTCATCATCTGGATGCCAGATAAAATACAGATGTTCTGAGCTAGAAACACAGCACCAGACTATTTTCCTCTTGGCTCGCGCTGCCTCTTAAATGCCTGAATGCCAGACAAACTCGTTTTCAGCGTTTTTGGTCCAGCTATAATTCACGGAAGATATCCCAATCTGGATTGAATGATTTTCTTCCCGGCTACGTCTCTGAAATTGGCCCGTGTTCTCCGGGGCCTTTGGCTGCTGGGTTTGTGATGATCTCCGGGCTGCTTTTCCTTTAGGTCACATTGGTGACACTGTCGTGGTGGACAGTGGCTCTGGATGTCCCTCCTCTGGAACCCAGCAAGAGCCTTTCTCCGGCCCCGGATCGATCCCTCTCCCTGGCCCTTAGAAGACTCATCCTCGGCGGACCTCCCTTCGGCCCCCATGGCTTCTGCACCGAAATGACCTTTTCAACAAATCCTCGCCTTGAAATCAAACGGAGAGCGTCTCTGCATAGAATGCGTGTCAGATTTTTTTTTTTTTCCCAGCAGGATGAGGGCTTTGTTTTTTAACCACCACAGACACCGAGAGGTCATCGAAGTTTGCAGCTACCTTGCAGGGAAGCCCGTGGCGGAGGCTCCAGGGTGAGGAGGCCGGTTCTGAGGACGCGGGTAGGAATGAACACACACAGGCCTTTGCTGTTGGATCATAAGCTCCCGCATCTTTCCTCCTGCCCCCATCAAGATGCCCACTTTCCCCATCTGCAACCGGAGCAGGGGGCGGGGGGGCTTTGAAAAGGCATGCTTGAGGGGCGCCTGGGTGGCGCAGTTGGTTGGAAATCCGGCCGGCCAGATCACGATCTCAGCAGTTTGAGCCCGGTCGAGGCTCTGGGCTGATGGCTGGAGCCTGGAGCCTGCTTCGATTCTGTGTCTCCCTCTCTCTCTGCCCCTCCCCGTTCTGTCTCTCTCTGTCCCAAAAAAATAAATAAAACGAAAAGGCAAGCTTGAATGATGGTAAGTTCTGATCAATGACGGAAGGATCAGCTGACCCAGCTTACCTCCGGTACGTGAAGGTTCTTCTTAATCCCAACCGAAGGCGCCCACCCTTACGGCGTTGCCTTACCGTGATGGAGATACCGCGAGCGTGACAGGCTCCTCTGAAATCTGCCGGAGGAGACAGTGGTTGCTGGAAGTGCCCTACGACTCTCTACGGCATCCCTCAGCGGGGATAGAAACCCGGTGTAGCCCGCATGCACCCAGTGAGCCGCCCTCCTGGGTTTCCCTCCAGGACAGATGCCACCGACCAGCCACAGCCTCCTCTCCCGCCGGGAGCACATCAGAGCCCTCGGGCCGGCCCAGAAAAGCTAAGCCCACTCCCAGCTTTCAAACCCTGCCCAGCCTGCATCTCTGGGACATCCCGGCGAGGAGGGAGGCAGAGAAGTGACCAGGCACCTGCTCTCTCGGGAGGCACATACCGTTCCAGAATTAAGCCCTCCACGGGGTCTGGTGAGGGACCCACACCGCGTCCCCTGCCGCGGCTGCAGTCTTCACAAACCGCGTCGCGACACTGCTGGTGGCCAAAGCGGTGCAGTTTCTGGTGATGGCAGGGCTCACATTCTCCCGTCTCTGGGTGGCCCGTAGAAGGGCCACATTTAACACCTGCGTGCAGCCCTACGTGAAAACGCCAGAGAGGAGGCTGACGGTGGGTCCCTGGCTGGCTTGGCCTGGTGCTCTGTGCAGGCCAAGTTCAAGCACTGAGCCAAGGGGCATCTCGGAACATTTTTTGTTGGAGTTTGTTGTAAACTTCTTTAAAAAAAATTTTTTTTAAATGCTTGTTTGTTTTGAAGAGACAGAGATGACATGTGGAGGCAGAGAAGGGAGACAGAATCGAAGCAGGCTCAGGCTCCAGGCTGTCAGCACAGAAGAACTGACGGGGCCTCGAACTCACCCACTGCTGATATTAGGCCCTGGGCAGAAGTCAGGACCTTCTGCTGAGCCACCCACCTTTTTCTTTTAAACTTTTGTGGTTTTTTTTTTTTTTTAGTTTTTTTTTTTAATGTGTATTTATTTTTGAGTTCGTTTTTTAAGAAACCAAGCTGATAACAAGCAAGATGGGTCTTAAATCCAGCATTTAAAGTCCATGCTGAGGAATTTAAGTGGTTATTAGCTCAGGGAGGTTAGGCAGTCAATTCTCAGGGCCCTGAACAAAATAAAATAGTCTCCATATAGAACCACTGGAGATCTGGGTGGGCTGTCCTGCCCCTCTCTCTCTCTCCCACAAACATTAGAGAGCACTGGACATGGTTCTTGGACTGCAAGACTCGTAGGGAGTATTTCTTTCCTAACCATCCAGAACTGACCACGAGATCTTTGTTACTTGTGCAGTGCTTAGGAAGAGTCATGGTTCTGGATATTTCAGGTGACTCCTCTCAAGACCTTTATCTCGTCAGTGTTCCTACCCCCCCCCCAACACCCCACCCCTTCCACTCTCATTTCCATCAGCTGGGAGATGTTGCAATTAGTGTGAAAATAGGAACTCCCTTCGTAATAAAGCAGAAAGAAGTAGTCTGGGCTCATGCTTATTCTGAAACCAAGTACAGTCCCGGACGAGGCATGAACTCAGGCCGATCGGGTGCTCTCCTTTCCGGGCGAGGCCCCGGAGCCTTTGTTCTTCCTCTGCACCCTGCCGTTGTCACGCTTACCCAGGAGAAAGAAGCCCTCTTCACAGTATACGCCTGCTGGTCACGGTGCCTTGCAGTTCGTGTCGTTCCCATTCAGATCCTTAAGCGTGGTCCCCTCGGGACACGTTTTATGACAGTGGTGCTGAAACCTACAGGGAGGAGATGCGTCTTCCATATTCAGTTGGGCGTATTTCTCTTAACCACCAGAATTCAATGTCCTCACATATGTACGCTCATCGTGTTTAATAGGTATAGATATTTGGGTTTCAAGGGCAAAAACCTTCTCTTGGTCTATGTGCTCAACAAACAAGGTTGATCTGGACCCTAAGGACCCTTCATGAAGGCAGCTGTGAAGAGGCTGGGGCGAAGGAAAGCAGCACCGAGATGTATTTATGGGCTACTGATTATGCATTTACGACTCGTGTATTTATTTATTTTGAATTCTTTTAATGTTAATGTATTTTTCAGAGAGGGAGGCAGAGCACAAGTTGGGGAGGGACAGAGAAAGAGGGAGACAACAGAATTTGAAGCAGGCTCCAGGCTCCGAGCTGTCAGCATGGAGCCCAACTGAGCTCGAACTCCTGCCCATGGTCGTGACCTGAGCCGAAGTCGGACGCTCAACCGACCGAGCCACCCAGGCGCCCCGAGACATACCATCTTAGACGTACAGATTCGAATTGGAGAACTTTGGGAGTGGTTGTAATCTGCGTTTCATTGAACTTGGTGGTCTGTGTCTCGTGTTACCCAGAGGATGATTAAGAACTAATAAAAAGTAACTGGCTTCATTCTGGACTTTCTGACTTCTGTCAAGGACAAGGTCTCCAGGCAGACGTTTGGAAACAGCTCAGTGTAGAGTTCAAGTGGCTTACCAAAATGTCTGCCACGAGATTAGTAAGGGTGAAGTGTCTTAGCTGTTATGTATTTATATTTTTATGCCTAGTGTCCATTCTCATGCTACAGTAGAATGTTGTATTTCAGACTCCACTGAATTACAGGGTCATCTGAAGGGGGAGCAGAATCAAGTTGGCCTTTGCCCGTTGATGAATTTCACAGCATTGACAAGATACCAGAGGAAAGCTTTGCATCTCTTCGTTAATAACGTCAATCATACAGGGTGTCACTCATTATACACAGTTCCTAACCATTCTAAAGGGTTATAAACGTGTGTTTCTTGAAAGAAACACCTCACGTTTCACTCTCAATGATACGGGGCGTTTTCTCGTGGTGTATTTGTTTCTCAAAGGAGGTTACCAAGCCTTCTCGTTGTTGGCCAGCAGTGAGCTGGAGCGCCTGGCAGGGCTGGCCCCGAGGATGACCAGAATGCTGTCAGGTGACAGAGGAGGTCAAGGCGTGTGCTCCCGTGTCAACACGAGGAAGGGTGCAGTTAAGCCGGAGGGGTGCAGAGAAAAGGAACAAAGAAGAACAAAGTGGGAACGCCCGCTTCTGCGCGGCCACTATCTGAGAGTCTAAGTTCTCCTTCTTTGGTTCTTCAAGGAACATTCTGGGCTCCCAACCATGTGGACCTCACCAAGGAGTGCTTGCATCTCTGCTGTTCGTCTCTGCCTGAGGCGGTGTGCGGCGGGCCACGTGCTGGGTAAAGGCCAACCGTGAATGTGCTGACGGATTGCTTTCTGCTCATTTACTGTCATCAGCTTAGGTAACGACAAGGCGGACTGATTATTTTTGCTGGGTTTCAGCTTGTCGGGTTCCCCTTTCCCTCCCAAGCGCTGCACCCCTTTCAGCATCTTCTCACCCAGTACCACACCTCGGGCCTCTCGAATGTGATGGAGGCAAAAGGCAGCGTGGTGACGGGAGGAACCAGCCCACTAAAGCCGAGTTGACCCAAACCCGGACCCCCCCCCCCCCAACTGGCTTGTGGGGCCACATGAGGGAACCGAGAGCCTCTCGGAGATTCAGTTTTCTCTTCTGGAGAATAATGTCAATCCCGTGTCCCTGGCAACATTCACGGAAAGGTGAAGAGAAGAACTGGGTGGGAGTTTCTCACCCCCCCCCCCCCCAGTTCTTAGCATGACAGGAAGGAATCAGGCATCTTATACATCATCCAGGCCTTCCTTTTCTTCTCCTCTGCCTTCTTAGCTTTTCTTCCAAGGCAGGCGCCCATGTGCCCTGGGAGGCAGACTAGAATAGGAATGGAAGGTGACGTTGAGACATGCCATCTTTGATTTGTAGGTTTGAATTGGAGAACTTTGGGAGTGGTTGTTAATCTGTGTTGCATTTAATCTGGTGGTCTTGTGTCTCTCAGAGCTACCCACGTGCCTGGCTTCCTCCCGGACTTCCTGACTCTCGTTAAGCACAAGGTCTCTGTGCAGACATTTGGGAATAGCTTGCTTGGGGGGGGGGGTCAGGTCTATTATGAAGGTTTGTCTGTGAACAGCAAGGTGTGAATCCTGGTAACCCATGGCAAGATTCCTAGACACCAGTGTCAGGTTGGGTGACTTCCAGGACCAAGAAAAAGAGGGCGTCCTTTTGAGTCAAGAAAACAGCTGGGCTCTTATTGCTAAATCCAAGAATCGTTCATTAATAGCCTGACGGGGCAGAGTTGCTTCAGGCCGCAGGGCCTCTCTGCTTTAATCACTGGATTTAGGATTAAGTCAGTAATGCTTAAACTGCAGAAAAGTTAGTGCCATGAAAACAGAAAAGAACAGCCGGACTCACATGTAATACCCCATACCGCATGAAGCACAGGCTCCTGGATCACCTGGAAGACAATGAGAATAATGAGACATCGGAATTGTCAAGAGTCCATCATTTGGAGAAATGGGCTTTGGAAAATTTGTGGCTTGAGACAATCTTTTGAGATAGGTTTGTGACGCGGACTGTCCAGAAATGATATTTGAACAGATTACACTTTTTATTTTATGTTTTAATGTTTTTTATTTATTTTTGAGAGAGAGAGAGAGAGAGCGCTAGCAGGGGAGGGGCAGAGAGAGAGAGAGAGAGAGAGAGAGAGAGAGAGAGACGCAGAATCCGAAGCAGGCTCCAGGTTCGGAGCCGGCGGCACGGAGCCTGAATTGGGGCTCGAACTCGTAAACATGCGAGATCATGACCTGAGCCGAAGTCGGACGCTTAACCGACGGGGCCACCCGGGCGCCCCCAGGTTACACCGTTGTTAATTAGTAACACGGTGGATGCAGTGATTTGTCTTAATCAAGGCTAGGAAAATCAGAGTTCTCATAAATAGCTGGCCCTGCTTTGCAAGGAAGTGTAGTCCCAAGCTGCTAGGTTTTCAAAGTGTAGATTAAGACCTGTCTCCATTAAACACCTCCTGGCCTCTACCGAGGGGAGGGCCTCAAGTGTGTCCACACGCGCACGTTTGGAAGGGGCCGCGAGGTTCCATCCCTCGAATGATAGGGTTTCCATGAGTTACCCCAAATGCCTGCCAATGTCAGGGAGCATCATCTGGGAGACTCCTTTAAAATCTGGACAATTATTTTTTTTCCAATACAGTATCCACTTTGTGTTCCGCACTTCACGACCCTCTTGAAGAAACTGTCCTGTTCTCGTTAGGTACAATGATTCCGTGTGTTCCTGTTGGCTCCGAGAGGGGACCCTCTGCTACAGCTTTCAGGGGACTTAATGAGAGAGAAAGGACTTTGAGAGTCACTAAGTCAGTCTGTCTCCCTTCCTCTTAACCCTCCCGGAAAGACGCCAATTCCCAGATCCCATCACGAAGGGCGTTCTGTGATTTCCGCTGGCCCGCCATGCCTGTGACCAACAGGTTCCCGTGACACCCCAGTTCTGCTCTTTTTCCTTCTAGTCAGAGGTGGAAAACAATTGCTCCTTTTCAGAAGATTCCTTTCGGTACGTGAAGATTGTATGTCACCTTTAATTGGATCTTGAACAAAACTATGTCCTTTGAACTTTGTGCACGGCTCTCCTTCCTAATGTACTCCAGGCTCTATTTCGGTGTTCACAAAGTCTGCCTCTTGGCGATAGGGCCTTGCTTGAATCTATAGCCAAGCGTTCCCTTTGAATCCTCCCAGGGATGTTTCAAGACAATACTACTGTGTATTACACACTATGTGTCTAATGCATTGCACCAAGAGTTATCGTGGAAAACTTTCTTTTTTAAAATTTCATTTATTTATTTTGAGAGAGAGAGTGCCTGCGAGCGAGCATGGGAGGGGCAGAGAGAGGGAGAGAGAGAATCCCAAGCAGGCCCCGCACTGTCAGAGCAGAGCCCGATACAGGGCTTGAACTCACGAACCATGAGATCATGACCTGTGCTGACACCAAGAGTCGGACGCCCAACTGACTGAGCCGCCCGGGGGCCCCTGTTGTGGCAAAATTTCTGTCAGAGGCTCTGCCCCTTCACCAGGGATTGGAAGGTGGGAATAGCCTAGTGATGATGCAGGGGACAGGGTACCGGCCTGGGAACTGGGCTGTTTCTAGTTCGAAGTTTTAACCCTGGCTTCACTGCCTTGTGAACGTGTGTAAACGTCGCTCTCCTCTCTGCGCTCTGATTTCCGCAGGTGTGAAATGACCTCGTTGGAAGAGATGGCAGCAGAGACTCTCCAAAAGTCAAAAATTCTGATGCTGAGTCTAGCAGGGGTTGGCAATCTGTGGCCCACTCTGGGGCCGAATTCAGCCACGTCCCTTCCATAAGGAAGGATTGAACAAGAGTCAAGACAGCCAAGGACATAGCCAGACCCTTCGGCAGGAGGCTGTGATTTGCTCTCGGTGAGGAAATGGGTTTTTTTCCCCTCCGTTATACAGCGACATGGTCTGTTATAGGGCAACCCGGGCAGGGCAGTGAAATGAACCATAAACCAGGCTAATTAAGGGACATAAGGAATCTCAGAGGTGCCATGACAAAGCAAAGCTCACTGAAATTCTTAGAATTCTTGCCCGTGGGGAGGGGGGCTTCATGCTTTCCGCAATCCATTGTTTGGGGATCTGAAACCCTTTGAAGGGGGGGGGAGGGCCCCAGCGAACACCAGTGGCTCCCCTGGGTAAGTTTGTTTCCTGCTACGGATCTATGTTTGCATCTGTATTCTTTTCAGTTCTGGTGCTAAATAAGCTGCTACTTCTCAGCTCACAGTTGGGCAGCTTACTTTTTCCTGCCTGTCCCCGATGAACATATTTGACTCTGACAGTTTTGCTAATTTGGCAAGGGCTGGGGAAATTCTAATCCTGTTCTCTAATGTTCTGGCCATCCCTCCCATCTAGGAATTTAATGAGTTTGCTCTCTGCTCCTTTAAGCAGGTCACTGATGAAAATGTTAAACAGAACCAAGCCTCAGAAATGTGCATACCAATGCAATCTTGAGTCCAGGGACCTTTCCAGCCCAGATGCACAGTGAATGTGGTACCTTCACAGTAGTTTGCATAAATGAATAATGCATAGAATAGGAAGTATGTCTTATAACAGCTTATGAATGCCCATTAGTCTTTCTCATTATTATCGGTTATTCTGAAGAATAAGGATTATTAAAAAAAAAATTTTCCACCCCCGAAGATCCACAAGTCAGACATAAACTAAATGGATTTAGCTTGACCACTGAGAGGCAGCTGTTACGGGATTAAGGAAAAGTAACAATCCCAAACCTAGAAGTTGACTCTAAGTCAAGTTGGCATTTGGATGGTGAGGAGGGTTGGCTTAAGGACAAAGATGAAGTTTCCTGGCTTCGCGTGTTGTATGCATGCGTGTGTATGGGGGGGGGGGCGGAAAAGTCTAAACAGTCTAGAATTGTGCACTGTCTTGGAAGGTGGTATCCAGAGTAGGATGTTTACTTAGCTCTGGTTCCTTGGTATTGTCAGACTTTTGAGCTGCAAGAACATAGTCTGGGTGGAAATGGGGCACGTTCAGTCAGAATTCAGAGAGAGTGTCACACATTTGGAAAAAAGCCTTCAGAAACAGTTACTGGCTTCCAGCTGCTCGCATCCCCACCAAGGAGAATGTGTGAGCAGAAGCCTTGTCAGGCTGGGGATACAGCCTGCCTTTCTCGAGAAAACCCATTTTTATGGTCTCCTTTTTATGGGCTGGGGGGGGTGGGGTGGGCAGGACCACAGTGTCCCCTCTGTCTGGAGAGTTCTGGGTGATCCTCTGCGTCACCTTCCATGTTTTCCTTAGTTTCATCGGTGCTGGGTCTCGTGCAAACTCAGTCTTCTCGTGGGGATATTGACGGCTGCTGTCAACGTCTCCTTCCGGGGTCAACTGACATCCTCCGCCATGTTATTTTGTTCTCAGGAATACCCTCACCATCGAATATGGATGGATCAGGGCCGTGTTAGTAGTTATGGACACCTCACTTATAAAATGTATTGGAAAGAGATATTTTAAACTTCAAATGGAACTGAATGTTAAAAATGGGAAGAGGAAGGGAATTTTTTATGGGTTACATAAACGGAGTCCTATAATTAAAGATACATATAAGCCAAAATGACTCGAATTTGCCTTTTCTAAATTAATTCTTCTTGTAGGGTTACTTTTCATTTGAAGGGGACAAGCGACCCGTCGTTTTTCAAAGAGCAGCCCTTTAGCATATAACATCTAGGTATGCCACAGTTAGCCACGCATCAGGTACATTGTTGAGGCAGAATTGGCTCTCTGCAAAACTGTGAGGTTTTGCAGTTAATGTCAGGATGGTCTTTCTCTCAGGATTCACTTTCAGGCTTCTAGGACTTTCATCCGTACCTCATGGTAGCCCAGGCCTTCCTCTATCCGGCCTATTGAAACTGCTCTGTTCTATAGTCCTTTCCTACACAGACCCTACTAGCTACTGCCCAGGATGATAGAGTAATGGGCATGTGAAACTTGTGCTCTTGGGAAGCTCCTAGCTCTGTTCACCTCCCCAGTGCCTCCCCCAATGCGTGTGTGTGTGTGTGTGTGTGTGTGTGTGTGTGTGTGAATTATTTATACGTTCTAGTGCATGAATGCTTTACATCTTGAAGAAGGTACGCTAACATAGAAAGTTTAATAACAAAATGATTAGAAATACAAGATCTATGTTTTACTGTAGGCCAGTGGATTGTCTTGCATATTTCTCCTTGGGGACAAGTGACTCAGGCCACACTTAACAGAATGCCACATCTGAGCTAATACATTCCTATACCAACTTTTCAAAAATATGGTTTACCTTTGATTCCGTAAAGTTATACCCGGGAGGGGTGGTTCTCTGATGGGCTCACACATCTGCACGTATATACGGACTTCCTGCACTTGGCTTCTAGCCCTTCCATATTTTGTAGACAGACTCCATGATTCTAATGAACTTGTTTACCTAGCGTTTTAGGGTTGGGAGATAAGTTTAAAATACACATAGAAATGAAAGCGTTTGAATGATATGACTGGAGTCTACTTTTCTCGCCTTTCCATCACATTCTATAGCTCTGGTGCATAAATGTGTTCCCCAGAAGAAAACTTTCTAGATTAAAATAACCAATGATTACGTGCCCGTGAAAGACAGCACAAAAATTTATCTGCTGAGACTGGATTTAAAAAGTGTGGTACATGTATACATTAAAATTGTGTTTCTCAAAAATATTTAACGGGGCGCCCGGGTGGCTCACTCAGTTGAGTGTCTGACTTTAGCTCGGGTCATGATCTCACGGTTCGTGGGTTCAAGCCCTGCATCGGGCTCTGTGCTGTCAGAGCAGAGCTGCTTCGGATCCTCTGTTTCCCTCTCTCTCCGCCCCTCCCCTGCTCCTGCTCTCTCTCTCAAAAATAAATAAAAAAGTCTTTAATGACATGACAGGC